GGTCTGTGAGGCTCTATCACCAAGAGGCCTTGGGGTGGGGACTCGTAAGGTTTCAGGTGTTGGTCCTAGTGATGACACCACTTACCCCATCACTGGCAGCTAACGCAGCTCTCTCTGAAGGATGGCACCCAAGTTACCCACAGTTGCTGTCTTACAGGCCAGTTTGATCTGAACCTGGCCAGTATTATTCAGAAAGATCCTAGGAGGACAGGGGTGGATGTTCAGGGAGTAGGGGAGCTGTTGCCACTTGCAGGGGGTCAGGGACACCTGATAGATGACTTGTATACCCTAGACCATGTCTCTCTGTGATCCAGATAGAATATCAGAGATCTGTTTTCAGTCTTTCCACCATCTCTCTTCCAAAAAAAAAGTCAAAAAAGGGAGCTTGCTAAATGTGGTTAAAAGTTCAAACTTACCTGACTTAAATCTCTACTAGATATCACCATATTCTATATAGATACTGGCAGAGTCCCCACTCCTCGTAAAGAAAGTCAAGTTGACCATCTGGATAGAGAGGAGATTGTGTGGATTGCAATACTTCCCTCGTGTTCTGGGGTCGTCTACAGAGGCTCTTTCTACCCATTTACATTGGATTGCCCTTTATGAATGTGATTGCTATTCGGGTATGTAGATATTACTGAAAAGATCAAAAGGTGACCAATTATTCTTTCCATTGAGTGCATGAACAAGATATTAAAAACTCAGAATTTGCTTGGAGAACAAAATCCACCCATGTAACGCCTCATTGTGCTTTGTACCACCCACTTTGTGTAGCTGCCGTCCCCTGTGGTTAAAAAGGAATTTAACCTTTGCTCTCAAATGGCAGCTGAATATCAACTAACCAGAAACCAGTAAGGGTATTTCATAGTAAATGATCATTGGTCTTGGCATTAGGAATTGTTAAAAATATGGATGGATGGAAGCCAAATGGATGAATAGAAGGATGGATGGATGAGTGGATGGATGAATGAATGGATGGATAATGGCTGGATGATGATAGATGAGTGGATGAAAACACAGGGACAGGCTGGAAGGGAAGTAAAACAAAACCTATAAGACTTGGTTGACACAGTGGCAACTTAAATGTGGAAAGGTAATTTACATTGACTACAACTGTGTTTGTAGTATTAATGTACTTAGCAATATTTCTCAAAGCATGACCTGCACTCTACATTTGTCAAGAAATTGGGGCATTTGTAAAAATGCAGACTACTGGGCTCCTCTTGAGAAATTCAAAGTTAGAATCACTAAGGTGGGTCCAGGAATCTGCATTTTCACAAGTTCTCCATGCACAGAAAAGTTGAAAATCACTCAGAGGTAGTGTTGCTAAATCAAGGAAATAAAGCAGCTTTATTCTTATTTTCCATTTTTATGCCTATGGAAAAGCTAAGGGAAGGAAAAGGAGCAAAGTCTCTCATTAGGAATGACACCACAGACACACGAAGTAAAAGCAAACAAATTTAGATGGGTCACTCGAGAACAGACTGATCACACACACTGGTGATCACCCAGCACTCCACGCTGTAACACAGGAAATACGTCTGTTAGCCTAAAGACACTCTGTGCAATAATTTGAGGATTATATGGGCGGCATCTGCCATCTCCATATGGGGGAATAGTGAATACCTTTATAAAATGATACTTTCACAGAAAATGCAGCTTGAACATTTTAATACAATGCAAATGGAAATTACACAGAAATATCAGTCTGTCCCCATCGGTAACGCAGGGACAGTTAATTCATAGATGGTAGGGCACATGTGTCAGGAGAACGGAAATTTATTTCAATACAAATGCCTAGGCTTAGAGCATTGTGTGCATTTAAATTAAAAACATGGCATAGGTGTGTGTTCAGTATAAATGACTAGAATTACAGTAGCTTATGGATTCTGTGCATTTCAGAAATAAATTCCCAGAAGCCAATGACTTTAACACCAGCCTGTGTGATTCAAGCCCCAGTTTCAATATTCATCCTCACAACACTCACGGATGTGCAATCCATTCTCAGTATTGACTCTGGGGCATTTTCCACGAGACAAGCAGAGTGTCAGGAAGGCATGTATTAACCCCCCTTCCACGGCATCGCCTTCATTTCCTCTCTAACTCAGCCTAACGGCCAGGTCCCACCCAGCTGAAATACCATGTCCGTGGTGACAATCTGCAGCCTCAGGTAGGATTTCATTGTGCGATGTCACAGCAGATATACGGCACATACATAATCTGAGAACGTGATGCTCCCCCTTAAAGCCTATTCTAAGACAGGCAGACAGGAAATTCCATCTCTCCCAAACACTCAAGATATCCTCATATTTCAAATACATGAAAATGTATTTGGTTTGATGAACCCTCTGAGCCTGTTTCCCTGTTTGTAAATGGCAATGATACCTGTCTCCAAGGCTGATTGATGCTCACTGGCGTGTCTGCTGCCATGTCCGTATCCACTGTCCGCTATGGTTCCTTGATACCCAGACAGGTTAAATGTTCTGAATGTCACCTGTGCCTATTTCATACAAGTGCTTACATCAAATGAAGTCATTATAACCATTATTTATGGAAGGAGATGTTTAGTAAATTGGAGGTCATATAAACTCAGTCCTTAAATGATATGTCAAGTGAACCCAACTCGAGGTGAGAAAGTGGGATCCGGGTGCCCTCACCCCATAAGCAGCCTGGTTTGGCACACCCTCACCCATGCTCTGACCACTGTAAATGTTGCCCACCAACCTCCAAGTCTTCAACAATTTCCTGGGAGACTTCCTAAGTTATTTTCCTTTTTCAACATCAGGTCGGCCTTCTCCAGACCTAGACTCCCTCTACATCAAATGGGTAGAGCAAGAAGCCTTTCCAAGCTGGCCCTCAGGTCCCTGCTGTTGTGAACTAATTTCCCCATATAAAATGAGGAGTCTCATGACATCACTAATACAGATAAGCCTCTGCAAAGCAAAATGTAACCTGTGACTGCATTTACTGGACTGCTGTCACCTCGATGGGACATGGTCATTGGCAAACTAGACTCTTTCCAAAAGGTAGAAACACAGAGGGAGAGATATGAAGATGCTAACGCACAGCACGAATCTGAGGACTAATAGCCTGGAGAAGCAAGGTTTACAGAGCATCGTTAGGGCAGACTAAAGTCCGTCCACCACATGGAAAGGAAATTGCACTTACTTTACAAGGCTCTGGGGTGGGGGCTGGGGAAGCAGGATTAGGGTAGAAATGGAAGTCACAGTGAGATAGATTCTAGATTAATGTAAGTTCAAATTTTAAAAATGAAAGCCTTTTAAGTTGAAGCTTGTTTGCTGTGGCCTGGAGAGTTCTGGGGCTGGTCTTGATTAGGCCCAGGCCGGGGAATGCTCGGGGGTGTTGTGGAGCACAGGCAAGCCTTTGATCTGTGTTTGAGTTACATGGACTCCCAATGTTGAGATCCAAGGACTCTAAACTGTGAGCAAAGAAAGATACTAATCTTTTCAATTTGATCTCTTATGCTCAAAACCTGCCATCCGTTAAAAAGTTTGCATTAACTCATTGGTGGCTATTTGGAAAGACTGTTAGACACCAGTCATTTTACCATGGGGATAAAAGACACTGTTTAGCCCTAGCCAGTTTGGCTCAGTGGATAAAGCGTCAGTCTGAGGACCAAAGGGTCCTGGGTTCGATTCTAGTCAAGGGCATGTACCTTGATTGCAGGCTCCTCCCCAGCCAGGGCCCTGGTCGGGGTGAGTGCAGGAGGCAACCAATCAATGTGTTGCTCTCACATCGATGTTTCTCTCTGTCTTTCCCTCTCTTCTACTCTCCCTAAAAAGATCAATGGAAAAATATCCTCGGGTGAGTGACTTGTTTTTTATTCTGGTCAGGGGCACATGCCTGGGTTGCAGGCTCGATCCCCAATAAGGGGCGTGCAGGAGGTGGCCCATCAATGATTCTCTCTCATCATTGATGTTTCTCTCTCTCTCTCTCCTCTCTCCCTTCTTCTCTGAAATCAATAAAATAAAAACAGATGAACGTCCCTGATTTGGGGGGTTTATAACAGGAGGATACAGACAATTTTCAATATACACAAAGAACAGTCAATTACATGGTATTAAAGAGCCATGAGAAGGAAACAGAGGAGGAGTCAGCACACTGGAGGTGCACACTGAGAGGACTCGGAAATCCGTGAATCCCATGCAGGGAATTCTATGGACGGCTGAAACCCACAATAATCTCAACCTCCCCTTGCTTAATGTTAGTCATTCAACACTTTGTCACTAAACTGATTACCAGTGGCCCAAATAGAGAGCAAAACTGACAGATTGGAATCTCACTTCTGTTACCGGTGGCTTTTCTTCCCATGTGTTTGCTGAAGGTCAGATGTCAACACAAGCTCAGGAGACAGCAGGCAGAGGAGGAGAAATGATTTGGGTAAATCTCAGGTGGAGGGGCTCGCTCGGCCGGTCCAGGAGCTGCCCTGCCCTTTTCTTAGAACTCCAGTACAGAGCTCAGTTTCATAAGAGGCTGAAGAGATATGGTTGACATGGGACTCGGTGCAGCAAACTGGCCCAACATGTTTGGAAATAATTTGGCATCATGCACCACTGCTATAAGAAGTGTTCAGATCCTATGGCCTTTTCACCTTAAGTTTTAAATACATGCACTGTTTATATCATAAGAGGAATTGCTACCTATAAATAATTCAGCATATAAGCAAATGAAAGAAAACATTTCCATAATTCCCATCCTCTGTTGCCAGTGTCTTCTATGTTCTCTCAGACTTTTGGAAGTAGATGTGTGTGTGCATGTTTGTGTGTCTAGTAGAATATTGTGTGCATGTGTACAATAGTATATAGACGTCTGCATGATACCTAGACATACAGTATCTTAAAAAAAGCTTCACACACGTTCTGTTCTGTGATTTACTATGACATTACAGACATTTGTGTATGTCAACACAGCAGAGATCCTCATTTTCATTTGCAACAGTATAAAATTCCATATAAGACAATAATGTATTTTTTTTTTTTGCGGGCTCCAGGACCAATGATCACCAGCTGACCAAGTACCAAAAAATTATGCTCCCGAAATCTCTTGATGTGGATTCCGCACGTAGAGCAATCAGGCTGCTCTACATGTGCCTCTCACCGACAGAGGCCCTTTTTCATCTAACCTCTTTCTGATGAACATTATCTTTTTCAAACTTTAGTGTAAGAAACGTTCTACAAGAGATATTAGGCATGCATGTAATAAAAATAAAACCAAGTGTGTGCTGAGTGTTAAAGATAAACTATCAGTGGAATTGCCACGTCAGAAGTAGCACTTTTAACATTTTGATATTTAGTTTTCCTCCCCCAATGTGGTGTCACATAGCAGGAGGTGCCTATTTATTCCCATGTTCGTCATAAAACTGGTATTAATAGCTTAGTCTTTGGCAATTTAATCGCTGAAAATTAATATCCTGTTCTCTTCATTTGTATTTCTATGATAGTTGCTAAAAATTAGACACACACACGGCTGGTGAATGTGTGAGATGCTATTTTTGGGCACCAGTTGTCTGTGTTTTGCGTATTTCTCTTTGCTTGCCATCTCCATGACTTTTCGACTTTTATGTATCAGATTAATACATTTATTGGATAAATTATGCATACCTTTCCCATTTGTCAATTTTTATGGCCAAACCTATTCTTTTTATTTTTTATATAATATTTTGGTCTTGGTCTTAGTCTTATGCTAATAACCTCCACACCCCCAAATTAAGATGATATCCTCTTTATATATTTCATTTTCATATATTTAGCAAAAGTAGGTTTATAGTTGTTCACATGGAAAATGCAATAGTTAATACAAAGATAAACTGTTTTGCGTACTCATAACTGTAAATCTACTTTTACCTACCCCTGTATATTAATCTATCAATAACTTACTTTATGAATGTTGTAATGTTGGGAGCCAACTTCTTCCTTTTTCCCTAAAGATTATCCAATGTCTCTCTTTATTGTATAATCAAATGTTACTCCTTTGACTTGAAATATAATCTTTATCATACAGTTATAAAATCCCCAAATAGGCATGGGTCTATTTTTCTATTATTTGTTCAAAAAAATCACCTGTCTCTGCCCATTAGACTATAATGGGATAGCTAGCTTTCCTTTACAACTGCAGGGTGTGCTCTGGCCTGTGTGGCTCAGTGGTTAGAGGGTCAGCCTGTGCACTGAAGGGTCTGGGTTTGATTTCCGGTTAAAAGCATATACCTGGGGTTTTGGACTCACTCCCCAACCCCTATCAGAGCACATGTGGGAGGCAACCAGTTGATGTGTCTCTCTCTCCCTCCCACTATCTAAAAAGCAATGGGACAAAAAAAACAAAACTGCTGGGTGGATCTTTGATAAGTTGTAAATTTTGTCACAGCTTTTGGTAATTGGTTCTATGTATTCTAAAGAAATAATTGGGAAATACACGATACAAAGGTATTCTTTGAAGTGTTGTTTCTTGGTGAGAAATTGAAAGTAACCCAATAGTCAACAAAAGGGGAATAGCCAGTCGTGTTAGATGATTGTGCAGCCAGGAAAACTGACAGGCATGGAAACCACATAGTAAAAACAAAGAATTCAAGATATGAAAGTGAATGTATGTGATCTCCTGAATCCTGTAAAACAACGTGTGAGAGAGAAGGTACCCACCACGCAATCATATGGGATTGTAACTGGTTTTCTGTCTGACGTGGTGTAAGGACCGCAGCAAGGTCTCCCTGATTGGCTGCCTGGTTCTTATTCAAGCTCCACCATCTGCAGGCTTTAGGACCACGGACAAACCGCACAATCTCCCCGTGCCTCAGTTTCCCTCGTATCAGCTGTGGGGATCAAATACATTAATAGTTATGCAGACACACAAGAGTTTCTGGCACACAGCCTATACTATGTGAAGTGTTTGCGAGTTTTTAAAAACAGATTAAAAGACAGAACAGTGTTCGTTATTTTCTTCCTCAAATGCATCCCATAAAAACGCCTGCTTTAATAATTGCATCTGGCTGTTTCTTAATGAAAAGAAGAAACTGCTGAGAGATACAATCGAGCTGGGAAATATGAGGGACGAGATTTCAAAGAAGCGAGACAAGCTCTTTTTCAAAGAAATCACCTTCTCTAAACCAGCACATACTTGCACAAGAGCCCTGACACCTGAAAGGGAGGGACAGGGAAGGCGACAGGAGAGTGACGTGTGGTGCAGAGAAGGGGAGATGCAGAGAGAACGGTATCCATTCCTTGGGAAGACGAGTCATGGTAAAAGTGGACTAGCGGGCCCTCTGTCCCAGAGCGGGGCTGCCCCATTTCTGCATTTTGTTCCCAAACGGGCTGCTTCCTTCCCTTGTGTTTATTTCACCATCTTGATGGGGAAATATATTTCCATTCCTGGAGCAGAGTGTGAATATTTTAGGGCATCCTCAGTCGTTTCATCAGGGGACTGAGCCCCCGAGCATTTAGACTCAGCAGTTGTCTGGAATGTTCTGCAGGCTTTTACTCGTGGTAGTTATTTCTACCTGGACAGCCTGACTTTACAGCACAGTACTTCAGTCTGCGTTCCTCAGGCTGCAGTACTTTTCATCAACAAATAGAGGTTTCACTGTAATTGTTTTCTGTTCCCCCTCATTCCAGGTCAGAGAGCTGTCTCTCCCTGATGGAAAGTGTCTTTGCCGGCCGCCGAAGCTCCCAGCTGCCCATGGCAGTGGTGGTGGTGACTTGCGCCAGTCCTCCTAGGCTGGGATTTAACACCAACCAGGCCCTGGGCTGTGCCTGTGAGATGAGGGGATTGGCTTTGTCTTGTGAAGCGTTTCCTGTTTGCCTAAGAGGCTGTGCAGGGAAAAAGCCAACCTCTGAGGGAAATCCCAGTCATACCTGTCTTCCTACAAAAATCAACCCTCAAAACAGCTCGCAGCGGTTCTCAACCTGTGGGTTGCGAACAATGAAAATACATCCTGCATATCAGATATTTACATTACGATTCATAACAGTAGCAAAATTACAGTTATGAAGTAGCAATGAAAATAATTTTATGGTTGGGGGTCACCACAACATGAGGAACTGTATTAAAGGCTCGGAAGGTTGAGAACCACTGAGAGAGGGCAGACTAGAAGGGATCAATGTGGGGGGCAAGGAACAGCTGTACTACTGTACTTTGAACAATGAATTTTTAAAAAAGGTGAAGGGATTAGTCAAAGAACATATATGCATAACCCATGGACACAGACAACAGTGTGGTGATGACCAGAGGGAACGGGGGTTGGGGGCAAGGGCTGGGTGTAGGTGGGTGAAGGGGGAGGGGACATCCGTAATAATGTCAACAATAAAAATAAGGTTATAAAAAAAGTGACGATTCAGTGGTGTTTGGTACATTCATGTTGTGTAATCATCACCATACTATTTCCAGAACTTTTTCTCACCCCATTAATAGTACCCAATACCTATTAGCAGTCACTCCCCAGTCACCCTCCTGACCCCAGGGTTCCCTCGAGCCTGTTTTCTGTCCCAATAGAGTTGCCTATTCTGAACATCCTAGAAACAAAATAATACAACACGGTGTCTTCTGTGATGGGCTTCTTTCACTTAAAATGTCTTCAAGGTTCATCCATGGTGTAGTGTGTCAGCCTTTCCTTTTCATGGCTGAGTAATGGTCCCTTATATAAATGGACCCCGTGTTCATCCCTCATCAGGTGATGGACCTGGGGTTCTTTTCACCTCTTGGCCTTTGTGATACTGCCCCTGTGAGAATTCATGCAGCCGGTAGAGCATTTGTTTTTCTTTGTTTTGTTTTTTGTTTCTTTAATCCTCACTTGAGGATCTTTTTCCACTGATTTTTAGAGAGAGTGGGAGAGGGAGTAACAAAGTGAGAGAAACATCAATGTGAGAGAGACCTATCGATCGATTGCCTCCTGCATGCACCTGGACCAGGGCCGGGAGGTATATGCCCTTGATTAGAATCGAACCCAGAACCCTTCAGTCCATAGGCTGACGCTCTATCCACTGAGCCAAACTGGGCAGGGCGAGCATGTTTTCAGAAGCTCTCCAGGCAGCCCCATCCTCCTGGCGGGGAGGTGACATGAACGGCCCACAGGTACGCAGCTGTCAGTGCTGGAATGAGAATTTCACTCCAGATGTCCTGTGGACTCAGGTGGGGCCCTTGGTCTCCAGGAAGCTATGACCTCCACCTGCTCAGAATCAAAAAGACAAGTTTTAGAAGAGCAAAGGGTAAAACTCAAGGATGTGCAATTGGAAGGACCTGAGTTTGGGGCTCAGCATAGAGGAACGTGCTTGCTGTAGGAAAGGTGACCATTTTGGAGGGGCCAGTCCAAGTTGCCCGGCTGCACCTGCCCCTCTGGGCCCCTGGCAGGCAGCCAAACCGCCCACCGATGGAGCAGCTACAGCCAGGTCGTCGGGCGTGAAGGTGTACCCCTGCGTTTACTCCTGATCCCAGCCTCTTCCTCTGGCTGAGTTTCCCAAGAGCGTTCCTCAGTAGCAACGGGCAGTTGTGCGCAGCCGGCTCGGGGTCCTTGCTTCTTTGAGGAGAGGGGATCGAGGTGTAACTATACTGAAGCTTCCAGAGGCACAGCTATTTTTAAGACTGGCTGTTGTGAGCCTTCCTGAGAAGCTCAAGGTTGCTTTTAATAGCCTTAGAAAGGAATTAACAGTCTTGAAGAGGAAGGAAAAAACTCAGAACAGGCCTTGCAGGTGTGAGCCCCGTGGGCACGGTCTCCTTGTGTGATGTGCAAACGAACCACCACAAGGAAGTTTCTCCCACGGCCAGAGCCCAGAGCCGGGACTGCCCCGGACGCCTTGAGTGGGGACGCCTGTGACTACGGCTCCTTTTCCTCCCTGAGCCCCTTCTCAGGCCGAACCCTGCGCTGAGCATTTCTTACCACTGAGTATCTGCCTTCAGAATGGCTGAGGCCCTAATGAAACCATCGCCAACAGGACAGCCCACACTGAGCCCTTTTCCGAGCCTGACAGCACCAACCATCAGTGCTACACAATTTAATGTGTAATTGCTGTGCCACTTGGGTCCCTAACTGTTGTGTGGCTCCCCTCCCCCACCCGACCTAGAGTAATGGTACCCACTTTCCCAGAGGTAAGACCTGTATCCACAAGGCCGCATAAGTTCCCATTCTCCACAC